TGCTGATGTGGCGATGGCAACCTTTTGTCTTTCAGGCACAGGGTAGAGCTGAAAGTGGTTTTCTAGACCTTCTAAAAATACCGCCACCGAATTTTTTCCGTCGAAATGGACGTTTGGCTTGATTGATGCTCTCAAAGTCTGGACCAGGTATCCAAATCCTTCTAACTGAGTTGTCATTTCTTGGTGTTGTCCAGCGGCTTCCATCCAATTTTCGGCCATTTCAGTTCGATAATTGTTCGGGCGCCAATATAACGTTGCGCGCTTCCAACTTGCACGCAACCAAGAGGTGACTGTGAAAACTTGTATAAAAGATAGAGCCTAGTGAAGGGTTTAAGTCCCTTTTTATTCAACGTAATAAATTACAATTGCGTCCTCTTGACGCTTACAGACTGTGCCAACTTGGCAGTCTCAAATAAAAATAATAACCTGAAAAGAAAGTAAAAGACAAGATTCTAACTACGAGGCTCTCTAAAAATAACTAACTCACTGCGTTTTACAATACCGCTGCTAATTCAGCAGACTTGAAGCTCACTGGAACGATTACCACTACTTTCCCGCCAAGCACATAGGCCGCAACGCGGGGTTCTTTCGGTTCTTCAATTCTCGCTAACTACCTCCGCGCTCGCTAAGTAAGAATATCACACCGAACTCATTTCCTTCTATTTAAATGATAATACTTCCGCTGATAATTTGAATCCTTGCGCGTTCTACTCAAATTTACATATTCTGGCATTGGCAGTTCCAGGGGAAAGTAAGGCTTGACAGGAAAGATAGTTTAAACTTAAAATAAATGTTAGTTAAAATAAATATAAACCCTACACGCTCATGAAAAAACTGAAAAATTAATAAACCTTCACCGACGACGAAAGCATTTAAATTAACCTAAGATTTCGCGAGCTTAAACCTGAAAACATTTGAACGAATGGCGAAAAGTACGCCTACCTAGAAACCTTTCCTAGAAGAATAGAAGTATTGTATTGTATCAACGGGTGCAGCCCCCAGTCCACCTAGCCGGCATAAGCCGGCCATATGGACTGAATGGAAAACCGGCCAATCCAACCAAAAAGAGGGAGCCAGAAGTCCGACTGCTCGCCCCCCCAAAAAAAAAAAAAAAAATCAACAAAATTAAACGAGCCTAAAATATTAAAATATAATAGAGATGTTAAAATTAAATAAAACTCGTCACAGATCTCAAATACATACACAGCCCATTCCAAATAAAACCGAAATAAAAGTATATCCAGTGCTCAATTCCAATAGTCTTCTTATTCGTATTGATAATGTTCATTATTTCTCTAACATATCTTCTTGCCTTTCCATTTTTCTTATTCAAATCTTGCATATTGAATGATACATAATTTGCCCTCACACTCCCTGTTAATACACAGTCCTTGACAGATTTTAAACGTAAGAAATATCGTCTTTCTGATTGGTGGACTGAAGATTTTTAAAGAAGTAAAAGAAGAGTTAGAGCATTGAGGAAGAGTTCTCAGGTTGTTACAATTTCTGAGAATATAAAAATTGTGAGGAAAATATTGTATAAAGGAGAATTGGCGCGGTATATAAGAAGCAGATTAAGCGTGTTAAGTATGAAAAGTAGAATGAATAGTTTTATTAATGCTGCGAAATGTCTGGTGTATTAAGCACCAGCTGATTCAATTAATTAATCAGTCTTTTTACTTCATGTATCCAGTATGGTTGAGGATATGAGAAAAATAAAATGGGTTTAGCACGAAGAAGTCAATAAACCAGTACTTGCAATATGCATTATTTTGCACTTTTGTTATGTTTTCACTTTTATTATGTTTATTATATTTTATTATGCATTATTTGGCATTTTTATTATTACTTATTATTATTACTTGCAATATTTTATAGCGTATTCCACGTATATTTCTTCTTCCAGTACTTGTGATGCATTTAGTTCAACTTTAGAACCAATAGCTGTCTGCTGCAGACAGTTAGAAGATAAAAGTGATGCTGATGAAAGATCATATGGTTTCAAGTTATAGGTAGGTTCATATCTCATCACTGGAATTTATCTCCATAACATAAGTTGTTAATTTCAATCTTAAAGAAGTCACAGTAACATTCTAATAAGAAACGTATGGAAATAATTTGAGGGCTACAGAAATTGACTGAAATTAAAAAAAAATATCCTTTAGTACCTTCAGACCTACCCTAAAAGTGAATTTAATGGTGTAACACTTTCAGATTTTACAATATATGCTCATCCCTTATTAATTTTCAATGAATTATTCATAATGGGTTTTACTAAATTTGCGAAGGAATGAAGCAGATTCTCCAGGGCATATGACGTTTGCCAAAAAATAACAAATATTCTAGTTCCCCTTCAATGAAACTAAATACAAAGGAAAATCTATGATAGAAATCTAGATAGAAATAGTCAATAAAAGCCAGTGAAATAGGCTTTTAAAAAAATAAAATAGGACTTAATTTAGGAAATAAAAAAAAAGGACTTAATATAGGAAAATAAATAAATAGGACTTAATATAGGAAAATAAATAAATAGGACTTAAAATAGGAAATAGTCTTTAATGTAAGGACGGACTCCAAAGTTGTTTGAGAGAAGCTTGTGTCTATTTATTTTGTAGACTTCATATGAAACAGAAACGAGCTGTAAGAAAAACAGTCTGAAGGAAATCAAATTCATCAATTCTACTAATAATGGAAATACATTTGACTGAAATAAGACACTAATATATTGTATGGTGGTAGATTGGAAGGTATTGGTTAATACAAAAATAGTGATTTTTTTAACACAGTTATTTAAATGAAGGTAAAGAATAATTAAATTATGTGTTTAAGTGGTTAAGTATGTGGTATGTACAAACAAAGAATAACTATTTTATATGGATAAGAATGAAATGTAGAGAAATTATTAATTTTAATTTTCATATTTTTATTTATTACGTATTTTATATAAATGAATATTGTTTATATTTATTAATTTGTTACCGGTTTGTATGAAACAGAATTGATGAATTGGAATGCTACTGATCTTTTGCTTTTTCTATATTGTTTTAAAATTATATTGCAATATTCTTTTTTTTTTATTATATTGATATAATAACTTTTTAAGTATTTTTTTTTCAATGTCGCTATGAAGTTGACGTATTACTAATACCATCTTGTGTAAAATAGTAGAATTGATATCTTACACCTAATTTCTTTCTTTACCCAGATTCGTTTCTTTATTCAGTTGTTGTCATTTTTAAATTATAATTAAACTTTTTTTCAGGACTTACTATCTTAATTTCTGTCATGGAATACAGCAAAATAATGATACATTTGGTTGTTTACCTGAAGCAGCAATCTGTATGGTGGACCTCAATGGCTTTCCCTTATCATTGGCATGGTAGACACTGTGAAAGTGAAATCATTTAGTAAGTTTCCTACATTCTTTTGTCAAATAAAAATCATAAAAATTAAAGAGTTTTCTCCTGCTGTACAAAAGTAGAACATTTCTATAAAACTTCCTATAAGTTGACATGGTAGGAAAAGATTGAGTTATATGGGATAAACTGATGAAATATATGAGAGAAGTGACTGATAAAGTAAAATATTAAACCCAAAAATGATATAATAAATATTTAGTTTGGATAAATAGAATACATTATATATGGTTAGTTTTATCTTTCAAACTGGGCAGACTGTAAGTCAACTAGAAGACTTGTGCCTACTAGGACACAAGTGACGATGATGTATTAAGCTGCATTGCCAGAGATTTCGTAATAAGAGATACTAGAGACCAAGATGAAGGAACAAAACAATAATCATCTTATAATTAATTCCACTGTTATCTTTATATTTCCAGCATTTGTCTTCCATCGATTTCTTCATGAATTTTGATGCAGATACAAAAATATATTTTTCAAGAGTGAGTAACAATTGTCTTTAACTTAAATAAAATTTTTCTTCCATTGAATATTTTAAGAATTAAAAAACTTCCGTATAATGTATAGCATTCAAATTCAGATATCTCATATTCTCAAATTTCTTTCTTTTAAGATCATGTCAGTTCCACCAAGGGTACCAAAAAAATTATTTCTTTTACAATCAAATAAGTAAAGGCTTACCTGTGATGTAGATCATCAGTCACTCTGGGGTTCTCGACAAGTTGCGTTTGCTATTATAAAGAAATTACATATTTTTGATATCCATTTAAGGCCCGAAGGCACAGTGGCTAGCGCGTTGCATAGCAGCAACGGAGCTGGGCACTGGGTTAAGCAAGGTTGACTTAGCTTTTAATCCCTTGAGTGAGTCGATATATTGAGTACCAAGTTCGCTTGGGGACAAAACACCGGGTGTCCTGCAACAAGCTGACCACTTGTCCAAAGCATATGTTCATATGCCTCAGTGCCCAAGATCAGGAAAATAGATTTCGCGGCACTAAAGGGCATGGCACAGCAGGTTTAGATATCCTAAAGAAAGGTATCCATTAATTAACTTGAACCAAATGATCCCATGGCACATTCTGTGCTATGAAATAGAACTAACTACTTTATTTTTACAAGCATGTGTGGCTTACTCTGCCTCACTCGAATACATATTCTTCCTGCATAGCAGCTGATAAAACGCAACTGTCCAAAAGTTTTCCAGTTCCAATATAGGTGGTGCTATGTTCATGCAGAAAATTTGACAGTTTGCATTTGCAACACATGATATTATGAGTAATTTAATACATTAAAAAGTACGCATTGTCTTTATCTTTAAAAGGACATCTTTAGGACAGGTAAGCAGTTGATATAATATTAAAATATTAAGAGACACATTTCCTGTTTTTAAATGTATTTGTTCCATACTTAATCATATATGTTAAGAAATTATTATGAATTGATATAATATTTGTTGTCTGTGAATGAACATAATGGATTTAAATGCTCCTAAATTTTCAGATTCAACTGACATGTTACTTACATTTGAATCTGGGGACAGTAGAGCATGTTTTGCTGTCAACTCTGATGAAAACTCTCAAACCTGTGACAAGAGTTTTTATGAGGTGTGGAACAAAGCTGGGCCAGCCAGTAATAATTTCAGGACCTGATTCCAAATGCTTTTATGATTTTGTTTGGGAATCCAGCTTAGCCTGCTCTGATTCAGCGTAAGAAATTTTATTTGACTTGTCTTAATATTTCTGAATGACCTTTATGAATGAAAATCTTCTTTCTCTCTAGCTCATGGTGAACCGTGACTTTTTCTCAATAACCTGCAGGCATCCTCTTTTCAGCCACTATGGCTTCCCACTGCTATAAACACTTCCTTGACAGCTATTTGAACTGTACTGATAGTTTTAAAAAATAGAATATTTGGCCATTAAATATTGCTGACATTGATGAAAATATTGCACATATGAAAAATGTAAAATTTTTATCAGATAATTCTCTTTCCTCAACACCGGACTGAGTGCACCGCCATGATGTCTTCCGACCACAGATTTGAACCAAACTGAAGTATATACTATATCACAGCGGGGAAATCCCCCAAAGTAACAATGTAACAACTTATTATTACTAATACCAGTTTCTATATTTTATAAAGTCTTTGTTATCCAAAACTACTTCATATTAATAATCGCACTGAGTGCCTAAAGGTGTCGCTCACATTTATACTTTCTTGCTGAATGAAAACAAGTCTTACTATTCTATGATAAACCTACCAGTAGTTTGGGGGTTATTTATCTTGATAACTGCAGACTCCAAGCGCTATCCTGATTAACTGCTTTAAATTCTGGTCATTTCAAACATAATATTATTCACAGTGGTTTCTGCTTACACAGTGCCTTCAGGTTTTTATTTTACCAAGGACTACTCTATTTTTGAACGTGTTGGACATTCACATTGCCCAGGCACAGTCTGCTGGTTTCTTCAAGTGCCAGATTCTTATATAAACACAAAAAAAGTGATAATGGTCCATGTCACCTTCTTCTCTGTACTCCCAGAAGGGAGTATCCCTAAGTTTTAATCTGTTAAGGTACACTGGGAATGGCCCATGACCTGTCAAGAATTGTGTTGGGTAGCGCAGTGGTGTCTTGATTTCCATGATAACATGAATAAAAAAAACAAAATGTCCTTCATCCTATCTTTGCCTCTGACCATCTACTTTGCCAGTTTTGTCGCAAGCTTATTAAAGTTGTTTTTAATGTGAGACAAAGGGAACTTTAATTGGTCTTTCTACAAGTAGTAATTCCATCTCAATTAGCTGCCAGCTTGGGGAGAAGATCTGAAGCTTCATTGCCTTGAATCCCTGTATGAGTGGGAACTCATTTTAGAGTGGGTCTTTGTAAGATAAGCTTTATCTGAAGCTGTATTTGAATTTGGTATACTAAGTTACTCCAGCTGTTATGTCCTGCAGTAGCCGCCAGACCTGATGCCGAATCGCTGAGTATGGGGAATTTTGGCTGCTGATATGCGTTAGTATACCTTGTAGAAACATTAGATATTTTACCACGAAGGCATACTAAGAAGGCGGGTGAAATGCTTCATATGCTCCCCCTTTTAAAGGGCGACTGGGAATTAGGGGACCCAATCCCCGACTTCTTATGGTAGAGAACCATCATCCACCACCTTTTTTTAATTCGGTCGCCACTGTAAAGTCATTAGAATTTTTTCGATGTCTGGAGACTGAAGAAATGAGCAATGCGTTCGCCGAGACGCGAACCTCGCACCTCTCGTATGCGCGCCAAGTATGCTGACCGTTACACCATGAAGACATGGAACTGAGAAAAGTAGGAGAAATATGTTATATACTCCCCCTTTTAAAGGGAGACTGAGGATTAGGGGAACCCAATCACCAAATCCTGACCACTTGTTTTTAGTTCAAGCTCCACTGTTGAGACATTAGGTATTTTGGAAGCAGAAGATGCTAAAAATGACTCGTCAGGACTCTCGAATACGCACCTCACGGACCCCTTGAATACGCACCGAGTATGATGACTACTACACCACGAAGGCACGCTAAGAAGGCGAGAGGAATACCTTATAACCTAATTGCAGAGCTGATAGCTAGAAGCTCTATTTGGTATACCGAGTTGTACAATCCTAGTTCCTTGTTCCACTCAAATGTTACAGAACCATTTTCCAGTCTGCAGAAGGTGCTGCCCGTGCCGTTATCCTTTTTGGAGCCATCTGTACAAATGTTATTATTGTTGCTTTAAATTAGTTCGCCGTTTATGTTAATACAATTGGAAAGATTAAAAGAAGCTGGATGAAAGTTATTGCCAATGTTTTGCTCCTGATAATCCAAGTAGTGAGAACTGTAACTCCAGAATGTTGACGTTTTGACCCAGCATAGTCACCCTTGCGACAGTTGCCTCCGTTTCAAATATCAGATCTAGGAGAGGCATTCTTGTCAGATTTTGTAGGGCTTGTATTGACATGGTGCGGTAGGCTCCGCATACTTGAAGTAGCTACTGTCTCTGAATTGAGAGTAGTGATCTTCTCATGTGAGAGGCAAGTTCACCACCCCAGAGTGCAGTTCTGTGTGTGATTACTCTTTCTGTAATAGTTCTATGCCAATATTTATTAGCTTAGATGAGATACCCATTTATGTTAAGTCATGCGTCTTATTTTGTTGTTTAGAATGCTAATTTAAGTCTTAAGACTCCTGACATGCGGCATCCAGGAAAGCCTGTTTTCAAGTATTAGCCCAAGGAATTTCAGTTGAGGGAAACTTTTTACCGGTATGCCATGGAGTTTAACTCTTGGGTGTCGCCTAAGCTGTCTGCTGCGTTCTATGAGTAAAGCTTTAGTTTTCTGTGCTGAAATCTGAAGCTTGCGTTTTTGTGGCCCACTGGGAGAATTGATCAAGACAGTACTGAACCCTCATTTCGAGGTTGTTCCTTTCTACCACAACTAATACAAATTCGTTCGTATAGGCTATAATTCGAGCATATTCTCTGCTCTTAAACTGGTGAAATGCCGAGTTTACCACTATATTCCACAAGGTTGGCCCTAGCCATGCCCCATAAGGGCACAGTCTCTAAAGACATTTTTGACGTGCCACTGTTTGATGTTATTTGTACACTTCGATCTTGAAGGTACTAGAAAAGGATGGTAATAATGGCTGTGGCACGGGCCATATTATGCAGCAAATGTAATTACGTCTGGCCACCAAAGAGTGCCAAAGGCTCCCTTGATGTCAATGCCTATTGCCAGTGCGTACAAGTCATTATCTTTATTCTGTTGGATATAGCCATTAAGTCTTTTATGGAATGCTCGGTGTTGTTGAGTTGCCTACTCAGAATCCATATTGGTTGGAGTGCAGGTCCTTTGCAGAAAGAAGTTTAAGTTTGGAAAGAATTACTCATATCAGTACCTTACCAATTCTGGCAGTAGACAGACTGGCCTGTAGCATAGATCTTTCTAATCATGTGAGTAAATGTAAAAACAGTACTGCTGGTGATAATGATAGGATAATTCGCCTGGCCTGTTTCAGTTCAGTAAGCCTACCAAAATTGTAGGCAATTCTGACAGTTGAGGAAAAAAGTCTAAAATCACCACCTAAAAAGATGTTTAGGTAAGTTATTTGTCCTTAGGACAGTAATAATACTGTACTCATAATACACTGAGCTGCCGAAATTAATCCATCTGCTGCAGCGGAGCACTTTACTGCAACCCTTTGCCATCCTCTAAATGCAGCGAAAACACCAGAAGGGATCTCTTGCATTGACATCTTGAAAACAATATCTCATGAAACTAAAGCTAAATTCTCTTCCTATATCTGTGGTAAAGTATTGAAAATATATGAAAATTATCCCAGAAACAGGAAATGACCACAGATGATGTGAAATCTTGATCAATAATAAGCATCAAAGGACCAAGCCAAATTCTTCTCTGGGGACTCACAATGAATATCTCCATAGAGGAAAGATTTGCAGACTTAGTTACACATGGCTTCAGTGCCCAAAATGTAATACCTGTAACCTGAAAACAAAACCAAAAAGTTGACACCTGTCTTTCAAATATTGCTATATCCGAATGAGGACATAGAGACCATTTATAACCTCAATACCCTCTTATATATCTCTATCAAAATGTGAAATAAATTTAAAATAATAGGAAAATATCAGTGAGGTTCCAAAAAATGGCACCTCTTCTGAGAGAATTTCTTTGCATAACCAAGGTGCGTCAAATTTTCTGGACCGGATCAATGGACATCCTGCACTCATTCCAGGAAAATAAGTTATCAGAAAAGTGCCTCAGGCCATATCTGGTCTCATACCATATTTAAACCAAATTCCCTGCAATATTAATTCAAGCAAAATTAATGATAGCCAACCCAGTGTACAACAAAACTCGGTGCCTAATGCCAAAATCAAATTTACTGACAATACCTAAACGTTGCACTGAAAAAACCTACCTTGCAGCGAAATTCCACCAAAAATTCCGAAATTCTGCCAGGATATACGGCGCATGACTCGCACTTACTTTGTCCATAAAAGGTAGAAAATGTACCATAAATGTAATTTTTCACCGAACTAACTGATATTCCTGCTTGTCACAGCTAAACACCTGCGCTAATGAAGTGGAATCATGGCCAGTCATTATTTATGTTGTCCAAGATCAAACTTTCGGCCCTTTAGTGGTTGAGTGGGCTGGCATTCCTCTATTTGACACTAATAAGTGAAGTTCCAATTTTGACATGTCGACATGTCATTTTACTAGCTTTAAAGTGATGATCTAAAATCCGAAAATATCCGAAATCCATTATTGAAGTCCATACGATTCCAGATCTCTGACTTTCTAATGTGTAGTGGTGTTTCCTGGTTGTAATCATTATAACACAGAAAAGCGTGTAATTGCTATATTGGCTATAAAATAAATTCATTGTTGTTTTGTATTTTAATATATTTCGAGCGAAGAAAATAGAAAATAAATTACAAATATTTTTATTTCTGCAGGGAGGAAGTAAAGCTAGAGAAGGATGTCATAGTAAAAAACTCAAGATTCAGTTATTCCTTGGACATTGGAGGTATTTTGAATCGGTATGCAATTTTATTTATTAAAACCATATGCAGTTTTATTTTATTTGGTTTACTGTACTATTTCTATCGTATTAATGTCTTTTTAGTTGTATGGTATATTGTATGGTATATTATTGATTTACATATTTATTAATTATTGATTATTCTATATTTAATTATTGATTACATCTTAAAGATTTATTTAAGGTTTTATTTATGTTCACTTTCATAAAACAGAGTGTTTATATTGAATGATACAAAAGAATGCTGTAATTACTTTATTTTGATAAATCAAATTTACAGTGAAACTCTAATTAACCATTAATTTAGATGTCAAACAACAAAGATCAGCGATATATTTGAAAATTTTCACAGGTCGTAAATTTTCACAGGTCCTGTGAAAATTTGCAAATATAACGCTGATCTTTGTTGTTTGACTTCCAAATTAATACTTGTTCGGCGTGTTTATTTTATCTTAATCATAATTATCCATGTATCTATAACTCAGAGGTTCTTAAATTTATCGAATTTTGTGCCACGTAAATATGAAACAAAAATATATGTACCACCATAAAAGCATTTCGCCATTTAAATTCAGTGAATCCTAAATGGAGTGTATATAATCAAAGAATAAAAAAAACCCTTTAAATTTTATACTATTTAATTATATTCGTAAATGAAAATTTTACAATAAAACAATAAAATATAAAAATTATCTACGAGTATATATATATATATTATAGAAGATGTAGTCGTAGTCGTAGCTTAAATTATCAGACGATAAGTTTAAAAAACAGGATACATTTATATATCCAATATGTATATATAGAAGATGTAGTCGTAGCTTAAATTATCAGACGATAAGTTTAAAAAACAGGATCCATTTATTTTTGGCCAGGAGAAATAGCAGTTACAAAATTCATATCTCCGGCGTAAATAAAAAAGAATTACTAATAACTTTTTGTATGAAGTTTACTGCATTGTTACATTAAAGAAAAGCCCCCGATATTCTTTTGCGAGTATTTTTATTTCCTCTGGAAAGGCGGAGCTTCTAAGAAATGACGTCAGCCTCGTGAGCCAATCCAGTTCGCTTTAAATATTTACAGAACATTCTAAAACTGTACGTGTAGAAAAGGCGGGAAAAACAACTTGACTACGGGGTTGTGGATTTAATTCCACGTACTTTCAAATCAGAGACCGTCGCCATTAAAAATGAAAAGAACATACAGTTAGAATTTTAAGTGTATTCTTAACTATGGAATTTTATTATTACAAATATATATATGTATAGACGTTAATGTGACATTAATGTGGCTGGACTGTTTATAACAGTTGTGGTAAATAGTGAATAATAATAAGTATGTTAAGCAAATAATATAGTTGTACAAAGAAGCAAAGAAGGCACCTGAGCCACAGGGACATTCATAAGATATGTTTAAAAAAATATATACATTCTGTCTATTTGACATTTTAGATATTACATGGTTTTAAAAAAAGGTGAATGTTGGGAAATTGGAAATTTAAACAGTTCTCTGTTAATTGAAGCACATGTTGTGGTTAAGGTGTAAAAATAAATTATTAAATAAAAACCAAGAAGATAAAATAAATGCAATAGCGCACCTTAACAACATCTTATTTAACTATAGCAATACTCATATTAGTAACAAGTATAAACAATCTAATCCTAAACGAATCAAAAAGATAGAATTATAATCATATGAAACACTGTCAAATAAGACAAACTAAATGTTGAACACATGTCAAATTTAATTTAAGATGCGTGTTTATTCTTGTGACTGTATACCAAACTATCATTGTCATTAGTTCAAAAAAAATGTTAAAAAATGTTAGGTTAATTGTCAGTGAGGTATTATGTTTTTGCTTTGTAGTAGCACTGTGAGATTAATTAATGGTGAGGATTAATGTGACGAATGAGCCTGTTTTATTGAAACCAGTTTAGATATGTTGGTCTTTATCTTCATTAATTTCAAGCGCAAGTCAGGTTCAAGTTGCGGCCATGTCCTTCATTAATTTTTTATTAATTTTTTATTAACAGTATAACTGAAAATCCAGTTTTGCAGAGATATGACATGTTGAAAGGCATTAAAAAAACTTTATCGCTTTGTCCATAATATTCTTTTTAACGAAAAAACTATATATATCATTTTTGAACGCATTCATGAGACTTCCGTCATATGAAATGTCTATAAGCTGTTCTCTTTCTTGAACCGAAAAATTATCTAGCACAGTTTCCGAAATAGAAAAAGGAATCTCTTATCCAAAGTTCTTTTCCTAAATTTTCAAAAAAGTATGAATGAAATTGTTAACAAGTCCTATGCAGTGTTTTTGTAGTCAATTAGTTGCTCGGTCAGTTTGTAATGTTGCGCGCTTCCAACCTGCACGCAACAATAGTGCTGACTGCTAAGAACTGGAAAGTAGACAAAGTCTTGAGAAGGGTTTAAATCCCTTTCTATTCAACTTTAGAAATTACAAATGCGTGCTCTTGACGCTCACAAACTACGCCGACCCGGCGATAAAATAAAAATAAAAATAAGAAACTAAAAAAAAAAAAAAAATAGTAACAAGTGACTAACTACGAGGCTCTCTAAACGTAACTAACCTCACCGCGTTCTAAGATACCGCTGATAATTCAGCAAACTTCTGAATATTACGTTGTCTTAATTACGTTGAAAGATTAATTACGTTAAAGATAATCTGCCGAGGTAAGCACACAGGCCGAAACGCGTGGTTCTTCAATTTCTAACTAGCCACCTCCACGCTCGTGAAGCAAGAAAGCACACTTTCGAACTCGTTTCCCTTCTATTTAACTCAGATTACTTCCGCTGACAATTTGAATCCTTGCGCGTTCTACTAAAATTTACATACTCTAGCATTGGCAATTCCAGGAGAAAGTAAGGCTTGACAGGAAAGATAGTTTAAACTTAAAATAAATGTTAGTTAAAATAAATATAAACCCTACAAGTTACACATTATTTTCCTTTAGAAACTCTTCTAGTGTTGGCAATAACGTAATGTTGTCACTTTTCACATCCTTAATTATGTATTCTAGTTTGTTCAAAAATACATTTATTTTGTCATGTACTGTAAAAACAGTGATATTGTTAACTTGTAAACTAGAATTCAGTTCATTCAGCTTTCGGAAAATATCAGATAAATATGCTAAACGTGATAGCCAGAGTCATCATCAGTAAAGCAATGATGGAGTTCAAATTTGGATTCTGTTAGGAATCCAAATACCTCTAATACCTCTGTTAGGAATTCAAATAGTAAAAATGAATACTTGGGCCTCTGAACGTAATTCAAAGAGTGTAGCTAAAACTTTTTCCCTGACAACCACTGCTGCACTTTTGTGTGTAAATGGAGCTTTTTGGGGTTACTATCCATTTCATTATACGGAATAGTCAACAGACAGGAATTAAGTGTGCCTGACATTTAGTAAAATTCACTATCTTCACAGATTGATCTAAAAACAGGCTTTTGGCTTGTGGGCATTGTTTTGGTAGCCAATGCTTCACGATGCATGCTGCAATGTGTGAGCTTTGCATTCTGGTGCAACTTCTTTAATTTTGGCAAAACCTCCACCACGACAACCTGTTACTGAACATGCACCATCAGCACATACTCCAATACATTTCTTCCAAATTATATTATGGCCAGTAGTAAACTCATTAATTTTCTTTAAAATGTTATCCGCGATGGTATGATTTGGAAGAGGCTCACAGAATAAGAATCCTTTCATTTTTGATTGATTCTCTTTCAAATCAAATATAAGCCATCAACTATGCAAAGTTCGTAATGTCTGTGTTTTCATCGAACTGAAATGCAAACTATTTGCTTTGCTTTATATTTTCGTTTAGTGTTTGTTTAACTTGAGCTGCAATTTCATTCATTCGTCGTGGAACAGTGTCATCTGACAATGAAACAACATTCAGCCTGGCTGCTGCAGTAGGACCAAGAATAGATGTCACAATATCTTTGTCTGCAGGTAATATTAAAGATTCTCCAATAGTATGTGGTTTTGCAGTTTCAACAATTCTCAAACTAACCAAACATGATGGTTCCACTGCTCGTTTTTTTTATTGTGTGTGAAGGAATGAAGTCAACGTTTGTTAGTTCTCATTTAATTTAATTTCATTTTCGTTAAAATAACTCGAGATGTTTACCTGCTAAACTGGTAAGTTTAACTTGAAAATGCCGTAGCAGAAGCGATTGTTTCATTGAGCGATTCGAAAATTGTTCATAACAACACAAATAGGCCTGGGGTCATTTTCATTATATTTTCTTGTAATAGTAGCTTTCCATTTTCGAGGTGCTTCGTGAGATTCAGAATATAAACAAGAATTGTTAGTTGTGTCAGTCTTCCGCCGACCCTTTCTCCTATGATTTTTCAATTCCTAACCTTTTGTCCATTATAACCGGATTGATCCTAAAAAGCAAATAAATAAAATAATAAAAAAAATATATAAAAATGTAAGCAATTTATAATATATATTAAAATGATTACATTCATGCCGAACAGTTAATAATATATAATAATAAAATAAATTCGTATAGATTATAGATTTATAGATTTATATCAGTTTGTTTGGTTTGGTTGGGGATAAACGATTTTCATAATCTGTTCTAACGTTATTTTTCTGATTGAACGAACAAAGCTCGGTCTGTGTTATGTATTTCATCCTTCAAAAAATCTAGTAACCCTTTCAGATCCAAAATTTTAGTTTTATTTAATCTATTAAATTCCAGTGTAAGATCAGCTGGTATAATTTTCAGAAGGATTGGTGTAAGCAGGTTTTTGTACGAATTTGAATCGATTCCCAACTCTTCTAAATTTCTGATCTGGATATCAGCACGATCAAGTAATTTTCTTAAACCAACAATATCGTTGGAATGCGTAACTCGATAGATACTTAATAACAGTCCTAAGTGAGAATTAATCAGAAGATTATTTTGTCCATATTTGGATCGCGATAGTTCTAAAGCTGCCGCCATAATTTTCT